AAAAAAAAAAAAAAAAGAGATCAGAGGGAAATCCCTTTTAGGAAATGCAAGCACATGTTCTAACAATGTCAGAACATCAGTTCCTCATTTTTGCAAAGATGCATCATTGCAACACCTCAAAAGAGAAAATTCTCACAAATACTTTAGAATTAACAACAGAGACTATGCCACCAAGTCATCTAAGCAGCAAAAAAGACTCACATACAGACAGAAGAGTTGTAGTACATTCTACGTGCCAATAACAGATAAAGAGGTTGTGAGATGCATCTGGTCTCTAAGCCACCACACCTTCCTTCTTACAGTGACTTTCATAATCATTTGTGCAGCTTTTATCTGTAGTGTGACCTTAAAAAGCTTACATCGCAGAGCTTTAGGGACAAACTGATTATTATCCACTATGAATCTAAATGAATATCAGAATATATTGTCACTTTGTACACCATCAACTCAATCCACTATATATTCTTTTAAGATGAAGACAAGTATCTAGGGCTAAATGGATTACGCAAAGATTGTGACAGTTATTAGCACACTTCAACAAAAGCACACTTGAAATACTCACAAGCACAGAAAAGCCTACCTCCATGAGCCAGTCTAGAAGGATAGTTCTCATTTTAGGTTGCAGGAGAGGGTGCCTTTGCATATAAAGTTTATCCCTCACATATGCCTCTTCTTTGTTTATCATGTTTTTCCACACATCCTCTCTGTTTGCCCAGCTAAGAGAGATCAATATGTTTAGTCTCAAATCATAAGACAAAAGGAAGGCAGGCAAACAGCAGCAAAACGGCACACTTACCCTAGAACTGGTAATGGTGAAGCTCTAGTTGGAACCACACTTAGATGTATAAAGTGAGAGTAATCAACACCAACTGCATCATCATCTTTATCCGGAGTAGGAATCAGCATATGGGCATTTTTGTGAACATTATTCCAAGATGGCTATTAAATAAAATAAGAGATTTTACACTGTGCCTTTTAAAATAATCATTTCAGATGTCAATAGAAGACAAGACATTGGCAAGAAACTATGACAGAGGCTATGATTACTTATTTAAACTGCACAGAATCATTGAAATGGAAAGGGACCTCTGTAGGTCATTTTGTTCAACCCCCTTGCTCAAGCAGAGCCACGTATAGCCAGTGGCCGAGGACCATGTCCAGATGGCTTTTGAGTATCTCAGGATGGAGGTTCCACAACCTCTCTGGGTGACATGTGCCAGTGCTTGGTCACCCTCACACTAAAAAAAAAAAAAAAAAAGTGTTTCCTGATGCTCAGAGGGAACGTCCTGTGCTTCAGTTTGCATCCGTCTCCTTTTGTCCCATCACTGGGCACCACCGAAAAAAGCTTGGCTCCATCTTCTTTACATCTTCCCTTCAAATATTTATATACGTTGATATAATCTCCCTGTTTAGCCACCTTTTCTCCAGGCTAAACAGTCCCAGCTCCCTCAATTTTTTCTTATAGGACAGATGCTCTGGTCCCTTTATCATCTTAGTGGCTCTCTGCTGGACTCTTTCCAGTATGCTCAAGTCTCTCTTTTGCTGGAGAGCCCAGTACTGGACACAGCACTCCAGGTGTGGCCTCACCAGTGCTGAGTAGAAGAGGGGTATTGCTTATTTTCACTGTAGAAAAGGTTTGCAACTAAAGCTGAAGAACATCTACCCTGTTCTCCTTTTGAAGGACCACAACTGTTTCATGGAAGAATATCCAAGTCAGAGTCTCCTATTGTGGTGCTGCATTTTGTTTTTACCAAAAATATTTTACATGAAAGCAAGATGTTTGCCTTCAGGTAAAGAATAAGCAGACCGAACTTTAAAACTGAATTTGTGCTTATAATTATACAAATACAAGGTCAGGATTTCTGGTAAGGAATATGTAGACGCAACACCTGAAGTCACGGTTCCATGCAAAGCAACCTTGACAATGAACACAGCAAAATAGTAGTTTATAAGATTTTTCTTACTTATCTTGCAGTGCTAAGATGAAAAAACAAAGCACTTATGATCCAATTATTTTCAGAATGCAGTAAGTACATGTTAAGCAATTGCCACTAAAGTATCAATTTAACCATTTAATATACAGAATTTTTCCAAGTTCTGCAACCATCAGCCATCCAACACTTCACCTGTCATATCCTGTTATTTGGACCTGAACTTAAGTTTAGGTTTACTTTTCTCCTGCCTAATTCTGTTAAACAAGATCTTGGTGTACACGTCACACTATTCCCCAGGAAAATACTACTTGTTTTATTTTGTGGTAGAATACAAAGCCAGTCCCATGTTATCATGGCTAAGTAAATTAAAATTTAGCATTTCTGCCTAACAGTGAAGTCAGCCATCTTGCTTCAAACTGATCTGTTCTGCAGCACGAAGAGGACAGAACTCCCGAAACAAGATTCCTAATGTGCTTCAAGAAAAAAAAAAAAATTACAAAAGAAAAATCAGAAGAATCATTAGGTGCTAACAAGTAAAATGCTCTACATGACATTTCGCCACTCGCAAAGAAGCTTCCATGCCTGACTTTTGTCCTGTCCTTGCTACAAATGACATCACTTTCCAGCAAAATGGCTACCCTCTAGCACCAGCTTCAGAAACAGAAACCACTGGCTCACGAAACCAAAACCACATTTCACAGTTCACTCACAGCTAAGACTGCTTTATACTTTGAGCTACTGACACACAGATGGGTAGTTTTTCTTCTTGGAGCTCTACATGCAAATCTAGCATAGCTACATACCCAGCCATGCCACGATTTAATTTGGGTGGGGGAAGGAACCAGTCATTTTAAAGATTCCTAGAGGGAATAATATCTTTATCTTAAAAATGAAAGATTCCTTACAAACTGAAAGTTTGAATTTGGTGTTGCATCAGCATTGCTTTAAGTTAATTTTTGTCCTCCATCAAAACTAGACTTTAGTCACACTTTGTCCTCCAAACTGCATGGCAAGCCCAGATGCCAACAGCTTTTGGAGAAGCGCTGCCTTATCAGTTAATCAGCAAACCAAAAGAAAAGCCGTACATTATATAATATCTATTTAAAGGTGCCTACTACACCAGCAGCTGCTTCTGAAGGACAAGGGATCTGCTCCAGAGAGTTCTCAACCAAAGCAGATACCTCACATACTACACTGCAGCAACAACGACAACTGATTTAAGAGATTTCACCACCCCCAAACTTCTATAAGGAAATCTAAATCAAGGTTCAAGAGCCTCTCAGGTGTTTTGAGAAGTGAAAACAAAGTTTTTGACCAGATAATACCACTCACCAAGACAGCCGGGGAAAAGATGCCATCAACAGAGAAAGATATAGCTTAGACAGAGACAAGAAGGAAACAAACGCGCAGGGCCTCAAAAGCAAGAAGCTACCAGCAAGGGAGACAGGCGACTGAATTAGCATATGTGAGAGAACACTATAGCTCTGGCATGGATTTTGGTTGAGGGAAGGAGCATATTAATCAGACTAGAGTCTTTAAAGCAGATTTAGTAAGACATTCAACCAAAACTAAGAAACAATACCAAGAAACAGCATTATATTACACCGTAACTGTAAGGAAATGGGAGCCACCACTCAAAAAAGCAGTTTAAGGTGAGGAGGGTGAGAGGAAACAATGAAGAGCTTCCTTTGGGTTTGCGCAGAGTGAACCCGAAAGCAGGGAGCTGCCAAAAAGCAACAGATGTTAGAGAATCTGTGCACCCTAACAGAGGAAATCCTATGGTCCTGGGTTTACTTCTGAGGCAAATAGGAGCTGAGTAGAATGGAAGCCAAAAATCTGGGAAAACTGCCTCTTCCAATCTGTATGAAGCCCAGCAAGAAAGCTTGGTGACACCCACAGCAATATTCCAGATACAGGAACAGAACAATCGATCAAAGATACACATCTGTATTTCAGACATGAGAACTAGATACAGATTGGAGAACTCGAACTGAGAAGGCTCGTTGGGAGAAGGAGTACCAAGAATGGCAGAGGGTAGGTGACCACAGGAGTCCATCGGAGCAGGTAAGCCCATACAGCTCCAAAAAAAGAAAACCCAGGATATTGAGTTGGTTTTTTTTTTAAAGCTCAAACATTCCCACACCTCAGTTTTCTGCATCACATCATCATACACTGATATAACAAACATCCATTTAAATAGATCTTCCGGACACCCTTCAGGCATATAGGCCAGACACAGAAAGGAGCGGGTAGCGACCACTGGGGTTATTGGTTACAGGCAGAGCCTCCAGTGGAACCGGCACACCTAGGAATACAAGCTGCTGAGACACTCGTGCATCAAAACGTGAGCTGAGAGCCACCACCACAAGCTTCCACAGACCAGGGCAAGAAGGGGAGCAGGAAAGCAGAGGAAGAGGGTGACCCAGAACTGCATTCAAACAGCAAGGTCAGAGGATTTTCAGCATGGAAATCAAAGGCAGAGGAATAGGAGGGGGACAGGCCTGTTTGTCTCACCCTAAAAAGCAGCACCTCATAACAAGAGAGACATCGATACCAACTACTAGACTGCAACCTTAGTTTGCCCATCAAAAATAGTAAGACCTACAACTCTAGCCATTTTTCTCAGAGGATGCTTAAGTTTGAAGTATAGAGCTTTTCTTTGCCATCAGAAAGGGATTCCAGGATTAATATACAGGAGAGAGAAGAGCAACTCACATTATTAAGTTGTTCCAATTCTTTCTGAATAGCATAGGAGCTTCTACTACTTTTAATTTTCTGAAGAGTCTGAATATTTTCCTGCCCCAGATTTGGGCCAAGTCAGGCTTTTAACTCGGATAGTGTTTACATTCTCTATCTGTTTGTCTGAAGACTTGTAAGTCAGTTTTTAGGGTTTTGTTTTTTAAATCGGATCTTCCAAAGACAACCTAGACTAGTTAAAGAAACTTTTTGGAGGATATTCTAAGTGGAACATTTTGACAACAGTAAAAGCGGATTCTGGAAAAATGTCTAGTGAGAAATTGATCAAAACTATTTCCCAAGAGTTTACTCCATCTTCTTTTCACCTGAACACATTAGCTAGTTTCATCTAAAGAAACTAACTTCTACATTCAATTCTCCACTCTAGATGGAGGTGGTCATGTAATTTGTACCACAATTGCATGGGTGACTCTAATTAGATGAATTTTGTTTTACACGGAGCCTTGGAAGTATATCCATCCACAGAAAGCAGCCAGAATTAATATGAGAATTGCTAGCAGAATTACAGCAGTGCCAGTTCTCTAAAATCAAACACAGAATTTATGCAATATTCTGCTGTCACAAACCTGATGATATAGCCACCCTTTCATCACATAAAGGGTAACAGCATCCTAATTAAGAACTCAGGCCTTATGTTCAACAGAAGCAAACTAATGAATTGACTATGAAGATGCCGTAAAGTGGGATGTGACTATGATATTTTGCCTTGTGCATAAACTAGTGTCAGTAAACAATTTATTTAGTGTAGAAGTCATGTGGTATAGGCTGCAATGGATTTATAGCTACTTGCATTTTAGAATTGTGCCTCAACAGAATAACTATCTCACTGGCTATCATACAAGCCTGCTATACTGCTGCTGGAACCGTAAACATATTCTCATTAGTGGCCCATGGCAATTTATATCAGAGAATAGCTTGTGTCACACCATAGACTGAAGAGCTGCTGCTGTGCAGCCAAATGTTAGCTTTTTTTAACAGATCTGTAACAATCTGGCTACTTTGTCACAACAAAAAAACCTTCTCTATGTAGGGACAGATACACAGGTACCCATTTTATTTATGGTTTACAGAATCAAAGGGCCAAATCCTACCAGTATCCTAATTTTAACTTGAAAGAGCCCCAAGTAAATATTTTGAATGCCTACTGCCTAAATTATCTAAATTTTAACTTACCTATCCTACCTGAAGTAACACTGAATGGCTATGAGGACAGGAACACAAATAAGAACAAAAAATTGGAAGTCTTTATCTACTTTCAAAGTTGAAGGCCAACATATGCAAAATATATTTCAAGTTTCTTTCCACTGTCTTTCCGGAAAAAGGTAAAATCATGTCCCTGTTGAGGGTATTTTTAAACAATACCTAACTATTATGCAATAAACGTGCACAAGAAACCCTTGCTCAGCTCAAACAGAATGAATCTTTTGGTGAAGGAGAGAGCTGCGGTGAAGGACAGGCAGCTCTTCCTTGTCAGAAGTGAGAAATTAGTTTAATATACTGCACAAAAGAAAGACAGAAGGGAAGGAGAGATCCCCTCATTAAATGCTCACCATTTGAGCCTTGCTTAATATGTTGACTGATAACTAGTATACGCAGTTGCAACAAGCAGAGGCCATTCCAAACAATGATGCCCATCTGTTATGGTAGCACTTTAGTCTTAGAACTTCCAGCTGCCACTTCTGGTTAGATGTGCCACATTATGCATAGCCTTGCGTACCAAATGAGTACGGTCTGTACTCCCCAGTCGTGACTTTTGCAGCTTAAGTATCACCCTGCATGTGCGTTAACAGGCTGAAGTCCCAGTGACAGCAAGCATGCGTGTGCGTGCAGAAAAAAAAAAAAAAAAAAAAGAGGGGAATAAACCTATTTGAGAAAACAGGCTACTCCCTGTTTTATTTAGAGGGGGCATCTTAATGTACAAAAGCATCATGCTTTCAATACAATATACCAACATAGCATCCAATATAGGTATCAATAGCATCTCAGGTTCAGAGATTATAGAAGGGCACTAAGGGAGAAAGAGGACAGTACTAAAGTTAGTTTTGACTTTGTAACTCAGATCATTCTAAGTGTCTTACTGAGAAAACTGGCAATGGTCACTACTAACCTCCACTGCATTTCCACAGCTAAGTGACTTCACAGAAATTATCCCTTTGATCTGCAGAGAAATTAAGCCTATTTTAGTACCACATTAGCATCTAGTATAAAGTTCCAAGTTCTAGTCAGGAACCTGCCAGCCTGATAATGACGCTTGTCAATAGGAATGGAGCTGATGGTAGAAGGAAAGGCAGATGTTTCCTCCCTCCCAGGTGACAGCTAAGTAGAGACAAGACTGCAAAGAGAATCATCTCAAAAGATGATTCTGTTCTTATGCTTAAGTGTCTTGTGCTTTGCCCTGCAAGGTATAGCATGTAAGCATATGACTGTACTCTTGCAACTCTCTAGAGAAGTCGATGCAGAGTTCCTCCATGTAGGCCTAAAAGCATCTTAAGGCTTCTGTAAGGTGCACCCTTGCAATCCCAGGACAGTTGGGCATACTGAAGTATTAACACCGTGTTTTAGACCAACACAGGCCTCATCTCTTGCAAAGACTCCAAAGCAACCTGTATGACCTGAGGCGTTCTGCACTCTTCATCAGCCAGGGCTGACAGTCCCCCTCGCCCAGTGCTATACATCACGCGGTAGCTGTACATCTGTTGCACCACGTTCATAAGAAAAATGAGGTACTGCAAAACAATAATAGGGTTAAGTGAGATTACAGGAGTATGACCTAAAGTCAAATCGGTTACCTGGTCTTCATACTGTTTTTTCCTCGTCATGTCCATTTTGGCAATTTCTTCATCAGGATCCTGTAAGAACTACAAAGAGGAATACGTGATTCCAGGCGTAAAAGCCGCAGGACGAGCGACTACT